TTGTAAACTGGGGCTTTTTGTGGCAGGATTTATTTGCTATAGCTCAAGATCAACCTTTCCGATTTCCGTCCACTTTCACCTTTGTTATCAGGGCCTTCTCAACTCTTGAAGGTGTGCCTCTTTCTTTTGGCTTCAGAAAATTTTATTCAGTCAGTAGTCCAATAGCAGAAAGAGGAATTAATGAATATGATTTGATGCGCTGCCCTTTCTTTTTAAACCCTTTCTTCTGCCCACTGCTTGTTCCTTTTTAACAGGCATAGGTTACATACTCAATCCAGATTTTTCTTTCGTGAAGATTGCTGCACCTTATGCTCAGGTGCGTATTTTCTTTGACGAAGTAGTTTTCTCATAATGTGATAAGTTTTCTAACCCTAAGTGGGTTTCCATGCATCCCGTGGAGTCCAGGTAATAAGTTACAATGATCATGAGTTAAAGGTAGCACTGTCTACTTTAATTTGATATTAATTTTGCATTTCATTTTGCACAGGAACTTCTAGATGTACGGCAAAAGCAGCAGACAGGGCCACGACTAGTGGAGCAAATAAGGAAACAGGCAGATGACGTATGAAACAGTATCTGGAACTCCTCTTCTTTTTTTTTTTTCCCGGTCCAGATGATATTCCTTGACACAAGGAAATTTTTGAAAACACGATTATTCAATGATGCTATTATCAATCAACTTGTACCATTTGTTCCTTTGTTAGGCAAGATCCTCGACCATGTCAATGCCGTACAGAGTACAGAGAATAGAGGAGTTTGTGAAGCAACTTGAGGATGGGGATCTGAAACTGCGGGTCCGGGTGCTTGAGGTAACTTTTTTTTTTTAAAAAAAAAAATATATATTCGTACAGGACTGGCTACAGAACAACGAACTAAGGAGGTCAAATATAATCACAAAAACAAATTTAGCACTGCCTAATTTATTCTGATGTGCCTCTACATAAGAGTGAAGTTATGAAAAAAGTTGTTAAATAAAAAGCATTCCTCAGACCTTAAAAGGCACGGAATGTAACATTTTCCCCCTTGACAGAAATAATATATGAAGATGCCATTATTTTGCGTACAAATTCTCATCTCAAACTTGTGGCCCAATTTCTCAGTCTGAGAGAGCTTCTCGAAAAGCAACAGTGTTGCAAATGGCAACTATGTATATAGTACTGGGAGGAACCTTGCTAAATCTTGGCGTCACCTTGGCCACCCAAGGCAATATCGCCATTGCAAATGGATCCTTCGTTGGTGCAGGTAACTATATATTGTAACGCTTGTATCAAGATATATTGTAACGCTTGTATCAAGATGTTCATCCTCTCTCTCTATTTTTTTTTTCTATTTTTGGGAAAAATTGACAATATTAATATAAGATGGGGACAAATGACGGGGATCCATAGTAATTGTGAGGTCCATCTTTTTAAGTGGGACCCGCAATTTATGCAGCTCTGTTATCCTAGACATCTGGGGGTGCTGTGCAGAGCCTGGACAACAGAGATCCAACAGCGAGCATTGGGTTAAGTGATCTGGCTGCTCACATTTGCAGCCTCCATGGCCACTGAACGAGGCAGTTTCTTGTCGGTGGATTTCTATTGTGTAGGCTCTGCACTGCACCCTTGTGTTGTAGGGGGTCTGATTATGAATGCCAATTTTATGCGGTTGTCACCCGATTTGCGGCTGTCTCTTAAGTTTAATATCTGAAGAAATTGAAGTTATCCATAACCTTATGTTCTTGTTTGAGTCTGCAGTTCTTCTTCCCTTTCATGTGGCTGATTAGCACCGCCTGGTCATGCAGGTTTTTTTATGACACTGTTCTTCAGGTCTATGCAAAGGGTAAAGAAGCTTGATAAATTTGAGAAAATGATATGACATATACCATACAAATTCGATTCTTTCAAGGATGTGTGTGTGTGTGTGTGAGTTTTCTCCTCTTACATTTCCTTTTACTGTACAACATTCTAATTTTTTTCCTTGAAAATATCAAAGTATACGGGTTTCACAGTAGCAAGATAGGAGACGATGATGATACTGCAAAGACATAGACAGTACTGTAGTCAGTTCAAGGCAAATAAAATGCTATAGCTTCTTTGTTTCCACACTTCGTCCCTACTTAAGAGAGATTTGTGTATTATAAGACAAAAAAGCTGTGTTGCACTTTTGAAATTTTTATCTGGTAGGTCAGTGGGAATGATATGTTAAGGTCCAAATCGCTCTCTGTTATCATATCCAAATACAAATCGTTGTCATTACAAGGTCAGTAATCCAGAATATGAAATGTGGCAGTTGAAGTAAATGATTTTCAGATGGACCAGATTGTCCCTCTAAATAGAGTCGAATGCTCATGCCATAAAAATTTTCTCATGCGAAAAGGAGTTCTTGGTCTAATATTTACGAGTGTGGAAGATGCTTAAAATTTGTTCAAGACTGGCGTCCAACTACGTTCTTCACCAAAAATAGATATGACAATAATTTTAGTGTTTCAGTGAGATTTTGACCAGCTGTCTCGGCAATTCAAGAGAATTCTGAAAAAAAAAAAAGGTTAGGAAAAATCTAAAAAAAAAAACTTTTAAAATTTCAAAAACCTAAATCAGGAATGGCAAAGAATGAAAATGACTATCAATTTTTTTTCCCCAAATGTCGTCAATTTTTATTAAAATGTAAAGAATAAGACTGATTTAGAATTTGAAAATTAAAAAAAAAATTTCTTTCAAGATTCTTCTAAAAGGTCATAGGTGTAAATGAATTAGATGCTTCAATTTTACTTTCCTAGTTTCACTGAGTAAGGGTTTGATAATTTAGAAATGTACCCCATTTGGTGTTTTTTTTTTTCCTTTTATGGCATACAAATAACTAAATTATGTGGAAAGAGTTAGTTAAAATTGGTTAAAAACAATAATATATAAAAGATACAACTTGTTTTTAAAAATACTCTTATTTATAGAAAGTGAGTGATTGAGAAAATGGGTAAATAAGATAATTGATGCAGTGAGACTAAATAATAATTAATGAAAACATAAAAAATAACATTAAAAAATTCAAGTAAAGCTATTAGTGTCTTTTAAAAATAATAATAATGTCTCGGCTCTAACCTACTATGTCCAAGTTGCATTCATCATTTGTGAGCACTAACACGAGAATGACCTTACATTAGAGGAGACATGGCCCTTAGAATTACGAAAACCTTTGGGTTGTTTTGCATAAAGCAAAATCAAAAGAATGTGAATCTTGACAATAGAAATGTTCACGAGGCCAGGTCACTTTTTAGTCTAGAAGAAAAAGCAACCCGAATAAATATGGGCTTTTTTGGGCTGAGCTAATTACATGCAAGGTGGAGCTGTGGACAAAGCATGCCGCCTTCCCGAAACATATATATATATATATATATATATATATGCTTATATATCTCTTATAATATTATATAGTACAAAATTATATTATATTTTTGTCATTATGTTTTTTTGGAAAAAATATCTTCCCCTTTTTCATCATCCCTCTAATTGATCAATGTTTGATTATTTACATATGATTTTAAATTTAAATTGATATATATTGTTATATGCTTATCTCTGTGATAGTTTGAAAAAGAGCTAGTTATATTTTAAGCTTTATTCTTAGTGAAGAAGCTGGAACTCGTAACTTGGAGGATTATTATGGTAAATTTGTAATTTTAGTTGGGTTGTTGTCAGCATCATTATGGATAATATAAAACCTATAAGGATATGAAGCCCTCTTGTGATTTTAAGTCATAAGCCATGAGGAACATAATTCATTTGCTGATATAAAAACATACATCGGGGACATAATGAATGTAGTCACTTTCTAGGGAGATGATTTCGTAAACATAGGAAAAAAAGTATAACTCATTTGCTAATATACAACAACAATTGATGAATCTAGTCACATTTTAGAGAGGTGATTGTATTTGTTAAATTGAATATATTGATATAGCTTGATATTTTATATTTTAATATTTTAAAAGTTAATTATAGATTAAATGAAATGTATTTTTAGATATGATTGGAGAGGGTTTTTTTCTCCTCACATGTGGCATTGACAAGGCATCATTCTTAAATAGAGAAGCCCGTCCTTGCATAGCTCAAAATAGTCAGGGCTTATTAGGCTGCAAAATACTTATGTTTATACTTATATGATTATTGGAGTGTTTGATTCAATAAAAAAAAAACACTTCTAAAAGATACTTTCACATAAATCGAGACAAAACTCTTTTCACATGTATACTTTGTACTAGTTCCAGTCTTAATATAAAAGCCAGTTTGTCTTTCAATTCGATCATAAATATAAGATTCCAATCCACTTTATCTTTTCTATGTATCTTTTTTTCTAAGATAATCCTTGTGGTAGTTGCATATGTTAAATATTTCATTAATTGGTAACTCTAGCTAATATATATGATTAGCAAAAGTATTATAAGAAATTCAACTCATATTTATTACAAATAACTAACTTAACAAACTTCTTAAATCTACTCAAAGTAGTCAACTAGCTCTTCATTAATAAGGGCATATTTGGGAAAAAATATAAGCCTTGCATATTTATTGTTTTAAACTAATTTTAACTAGTTTCTTGATAAGTGTTATAGATAAAATTTAACTTATATTTTAAATCTGAGAGAGTATCTTATAAAAAAATCAACCTTTTAAAAAAAATTTAGTTTGTATTTTGAAACGGAGATGGTATAAAAATTATTTTAAAAAAAAAAATAAAGATAAGTGAGAAAATCCCTGAAATAGTATTTGTCAGAAAATTATTTGTTAGAATACAAGCACACGTGCCAGCGCTATATTGTGAACAATAGCATAGCATCTAATGTGCAGGGGCCCACAACCAGTGACCGTTGAAACCTGATTGTTAAGCCCGTCCCACCTTCACCTGCTCATAAAACGACAGAATCTGAAACCTTTCAGGCCTCACAAGCGGTCTTGGCTAGAATCGTCTTCCATATATATAGATTCCCACCTTCCTTCATTTTCTGCACTGACTGCTTATACTTCCCATTTCTTCTTTTTCGTCTTTCACGTCCGTGTGTATGTATATAAACCCACCTTTCTCAGTTTCCAGTGCATAGTACATATACTTCCCAATCGTTTCTCAGATTTTTAGACCACTCATTCTGCTCCTTGATCGTCTTCATCGTCTTCATCGTCATCATCTGCTCCTGTGAGCCGCTCAAATTGGTCAACTAAAGCTCTAGAAAGATGGGTATGGTGGTGGTGATATCTCTGCCTCTGATTCTCTTCTACTTAATTCTGGGTTTGGGATGCTATTTCCTGGGAAGAGCCAGAGGCAGACAAGATATAAAGACGCATCCTCAAGTCTTCGGTGTGCCCACCACTCCTCCTAATTCTTTTCCTCCTCATTCGGCTCCTCCAACTCACCATTCAAAGCCAGACAACGCTGATAATGTTTGATCCAATCAATAATTTCCTCTTTCGTATACTTTATGGTGTTTGTGTGGGTCGGTGATCCCTTTTCTTTTGGAGAGATATCTTCTTTGTTCGATGGTTGTGTGGTATCGTTTTAATTGAGTACAATATGTACGGCATTTGAGATTCGGTTTTATTTAGTTAATCGCCTGTTTAGTGTTCCATGATGGCAAAGGAGGGAACCAAAAGAAATTCCCCATATATGTTTTGGGATGCTGTTGGATTTGATATGCTCTGTTTCATGTATGATTTCAAAGATGTTGACGAATTGCTGGAACAATGTATCAGTGTTGATATTAATTGCTGGAACAATGTGTCAGTGTTGATATTTTCTATTGAAGATATTGACGGTTGATATACAATTTTACTTTGCACCAACCTAACTTAACCTATGTAAATTAATAATGATAAGTCAAGATCGTGATATTTTTACGGAGTTAAGTCAACAAATTCGATTAGGACAGCAGAGAACAAATCAAAATAGTGAGGTTTGGTCCGGCAAAATTGAATTAAAATGTAATCTTAGTACTAAATAGAAATTAAGACAAAAGGAAAATGATTGAATTTGCCATGTATTGCCTTGGGTGATTTGTACTTGAGATTTGGAATTAGACTTCTGCTGAGAGTCAGATTTGGGATGGATGGGGGGAGCTTTTGGGCCTTTGTCTTGAACTCTATCATTCTCATTCAAACGAGAAGGTGGTGTTGATATCCGAGTTTGATCTCGGCAAATGAAATTTGGTATTGCCTAAAGGCATGATGGGACAATCTGTGTGAGAAGGTAAGGTTTAGAGATGAATTGCAGATCTTGATCTCATTGATTATCGAATAGTCCAGTACATTATATAGCAGTAATGTAAGCTAGTGTGAACTAAAGCAATGACACGTGTTATTACAGCTGTAAGTGAGCAAATGAGTTTTGACTATTTGACCACACGCGTAACAAACTGTTACCGCTGTGTTCCTTATTATAAGTCACTTGTACCCCAAAAATTTGTTTTAAAATATAAATCACTTGTAGTATAATTAATGTTTTTTTTTCAATTTTACCCCTATTAATTTAATACAAAATTAAGGAAAGATATATTTGCTAGTCCTTATAGTTTAATTAGATTTTGAATTAGATCCCTACAATTTTATTTCTTTTTATTGAATCCTTATAGGTAGTTTTGTTAAATTCATCGATCCTTCCGTCAGCAAAAGTTGCAAATGTTGTCAACGTAAAGTGGTAGAGGGTGATCTGGCACTCTCGCTCTCTCTCTGTCACCCAAGTAAAGTGGCTCTCCCTATCATCTGCTTGTCTCATCTCTCCAAGCTAACCACAATGAGTTCGACGGCGCCCAGATTTTCCCAACTCACAAGCTAAACTGAATCCCATATTTCCCCAACTCAGAAGTTGTGTTCTTCGTGAGCCCAACCATGGCATGCTTTGAAGCTTTATAAGCATAGGGACCCAGTCCTCCCATGACTTCGATGGTGCTCAACGTCAATATGATGCGCCCAGGTTGCCTAGGTATCATCATTCTACTGCATGCTTGATTCCGAGAGCTACACCCTTCACGTTCACTCACATGACTCTGTCAAACTTGTTGGCATCGAAGTTGACAATCTTTTGTTCTTTGATTGATTCCCTAACACCTCAACATTGTTGAATATTATTTCAAGCTAGTCGTATGTGGATTTCACTACGTTTTCCATGTCTTCTTTGGATGGTGGAAGAAGTGGCTGATAGATCATGGAGTTCGGGCATACTTGAAGTGTCGAGCAATTTCAGATAGCCACGCACGGAATGCCGATCACGGTAATAGAATCGGTATTGATGCTCATAGCAAATGCACTATGGTTTTTTTTCTTGGGAGTCAGAAGAGAGAGCTCCGGCGGGAAGGAAAGAGGAGCCAGTTAAAAAATCAGTTTCACAAAACTGATTCTTTTATCTTAAAGAAAAAACTTCCGCACCCGTCTGTCCTTATCCATAGTTTTAAGAAATATTGCAAATCACCATTTGAGACCCATAGGTTATGTTATTTGCATTAGAGCCCCCAAAGTTAATGGGCTTGGGCCCAATCCACCAAGGGTGGACAGGCCCATTTTCCTACATCTCCCACTCACACTTGGTGGATTAGGTGTCATGGGTCTCATCTCTCCGTCTCCCCTCAGTTTCATACTTAGTGCTTTGCCGTGACCGCGTGGGCATGACGTCTTCATTTAGGTGCCTGTACTAGAAATCCTTTTATAGGACCAGCACAAGTTACCTTCTCCTTTCGTGTAGTGTGAATTTTAAAATTATGCCTCAGATGTCCTAGATTTACTTATATACACTTTTTCATGGTAAATCTAATCCCTCTCGAGTCAATAGTTGACTCAGATTACCTTTCTCTTATGTCTAGTATCCACACTTACGACCACAAAATGTCATAAGGGACATGTCACAGACACTAGCATAGGTGTGTATATCACAGTCAATCTTCCTTTCGCCCAAATATCACTTTGAAATGAATCAGTCGCTTTCTTGGCATACTACCTTAGATCGCATCAATCATGACCATAGGATATATGCCAAAGTAGCAGTCACTGAAACATATCTTCATGATATTGTCAAAGTCAAAGGACACTAATAGGAGGATAATTCCTCCCTGGGACTCACATAGCAATGAAGCAGGGATCTTTCACTTGCTTCCCTTTTGCAGTTCTCTCAACATATGTGGTATGAAACACATGCTATGGTGTTACTCTTTTACTATAAGAGCGTATGTCGATTTAGATTTATTATTAACACCATACAGACTTAGGTCCAGATACACTCAGTATCTAAACCCGAATTCTTCAACTCTGCTCATTGTTATGACGTCGACGTTGAAGAGTTTGTTGTCTGGCTACAGGTATTATGGAAGTGGGATTCCAAACTTCGATCCAACTTTATCAATGTGGATCTCATCTTGACTTGCTACACTTTAGTCAAGGCGACATAAAGTTTGTGTTTCTTCTCTACCATATTAGCATTCATTGCTGCTTTACTGGTGAACACAAATGTCTCATCTTTGTTCACTCCACCTGAGTGTCAAAGGCGGTTGCCCGTGTGAGAGAGCCAACCTTTTTAACCTGTACGACATACTAGACATTGTATACTTTCGAACAGACACATAAAGTGATAACAAAATATAATTTCATTAATGAAGCATTCATATTACACTTTATGTATGCCAAGGGCTTGTACATGTTCTTTAAAAACTCTTTCGCCTATTGGCTTTGTCAGAGGATCTGCTACCATACATTTGGTTGAAATATATTGTACAGTAACAATCTTTTGTGCTATGTAATCTCTAACAAAATTATACTTGATGTCAATATGCTTGGTTTTGCTGTGATACTTAGGATCTTTAGTATAGGCTATGGCTGCAGTATTGTCACAGTATACCATCACCGGATTGGTACTCTCGTTTCCAAATCCAAGGTGTTCTATAAATCTCTTCAGCCATAAAGCCTCTTGCACTGCTGCAGTGCATGCCACAAACTCAGCTTCCATTGAATGTAAGGCAATGCACGTTTGCTTCTTGCTACTCCAACATATGGCGCCATTGTTGAGCAAGAAGGTATAACCTGAAGTTGACCTTCGTTCTTCTTCATCTCCGCCTACATCAGCATCGGAGTACCCAACAAGACGCAGGTCACCTCCTTCGTAGCACAGTGCATAATTGGAAGTTCCCTTTAAGTATCTCAAGATCCTCTTCACTGCTTTCCAATGCTTTTCACCGGGGTTAGACTGGAATCTGCTCACCAGTCCCACTGCATAACAGATGTCTGGTCTTGTACACATCATTGCGTACATCAGACTACCAACAGCACTGGCATATGGAACTCTTTCCATTTCTTTTTGTCAGACTCGGTTTTGGGACACATGTCAGAACTCAAAGCCACTCCAGTGGCAACGGGTGTACTCATGGGATTGCAGTCTTTCATGTTAAATCGCTCAAGAATCTTGTTGATATAATTCTCTTGTGAAAGAGAGAGGATTCGTTTTGAGCGATTTCTTTGGATCTTAACTCCAAGTATATACTCTGCTTCACCCATGTCTTTCATTTCAAAATTCGACGAAAGCCATTCTTTAATAGCCACCACCGAATCTAGACTATTTCCGGCTAATAGTATATCATCTACATATAAGGATAATATGACAAAATTACCCTCAAACCGCTTAATGTAGACACAGTGGTCTTCCTCTATCATTTGGAAGTCATATGAGGTTATCGCTTTGTGAAACCTCAAATACCACTGTCTGGATGACTGCTTCAATCCATAAATGGACCTTTTGAGTTTACAAACTTTATTTTCTTTTCCTTTTTCAATGAAACCTAATGGTTGTTCCATATAGATTTCTTCATCCAGATCACCATTCAGAAATGCGGTTTTTACATCCATCTAATGTAATTCTAGATCTAAACTGTTTACTATTGCCAAAATAAGTCTAATAGAATTGAAACGCACAACAGGTGAGAACGTATCTTCATAATCTATTCCTTCCTGTTGTGTGTACCCCTTTGCCACTAATCGAGCCTTGTATTTGTCAATTGATCCATCCACTTTTCTTTTAATTTTGAGAACCCACTTGTTCCCAATGGCTTTACGCCCTTTTGGAAGATCAACTAACACCCAAACTTGGTTCTTTTCATTGAGTCCATTTCTTCTTCCATAGCTTTCATCCATTCATCTTTGCAGGACCTGACAAGGCTTCTCGTACAGAACGGGGCTCATCATCCCCTTCTGGAGTAACTAAGAGAGATTCGCCTTCTATTTGAAAGCGTCTTTTGGAAACACTTTCCCTGTTACTCCTTCTGACGGGAGCTATTTGCTTATCTTTCTTTCTTTGTTCAGGTCTTGGTGTTGACCTTTCTTGGCTCCCACTCAGATTGACACACCTAGACGATTCTGGTTTGTCAATTTGTTCTGTACTGTCTTGTTCCTGTGTCTCATAAAGAGAAAAGTACGGTCAACATCTCCTTATTAGGAAATTCAGTCTCAATGAATGTTACATCCCTTGATTCTATTTCAGTCACGGTTCCATCTTCGTTTTCACCTATGAAAACGTA